AGGCCCTTCCTGCCTCAAACCCCATTACCTCATCAGCAGGGCCCTGGGAGGCCCTTCCTGCGGCTCCATTGCTCACTCTAGGCAATCCTCTGGCCAGGGAATGGACAGGCCAGGGCTAGGGACAGGGACTCACCCAGGCCCAGTTTTCACACAGCCTCAGGGACATCCCTGGTCTCACTGTGAAGACTGAGACCCAGAGGGGAAAGAGCTTACCCAGGTTCACACAGCAAATCAGGGGTCAGGGCCGCTCCCTCTACTCCCCCGAGGTCAGACAGCTGCCTGCGGGATGTTGTATGACTGGGACTCCCCTTGACTGACTCCCAGCACAGCCCAGCCTCCAGCATGGCATCCTGTGGCTTCAGGATTTTCAGTGGCCACATGGCTCCTGAGCCCAGACGCAATGGTTTGACGACCCAATTTCCCCATCGCCCTCCCCACCCCACCTCACTTCAGTAGAGATCCTGGGGTCAGGGGACTCACGGGGAAGCTCGACGGGCTCACAATCCTCGGTGCCACACGGCCGGGAGCTCTCAGGCCAGGCCTCGTGACCACACTGGTCGCTGTCTTCCTCTGGCAGCCCCGTCTGGGTGTTGACACACTTGACCAGGCGCCGCTGGACGCCACCACCACAGGGGGCTGAGCACTGGGGGGAGTGGGGGAGGAATGAGTTTCTCCGGGACCAGTCCTAGCAATGGGGACAGTGACACCTCCTCTGGGAAGCCATCCCTGCGCCCTGTGCCTGACAGGCCTGCCCTTGCTCCCAGCCGCCCCCTGAGTGCCTCCTGGAGGACCTGGTCCCACCCCTAGAACCCACTTGGTGCTGGAACCCCACTCTCACTTGTGGGATCGGCTCCGGCAGAGGGGAGGGGCATGAGAACAGTGGGACAGCCCTCGGGGTTCCTGGGCAGTGAGGCCCTCACAAGGGACATGCCTGAGAGGCCTGGGCAGCGGCCCCGGGATGGAGCCCTGATGCAGCAGTGGGCAGAGATGTGGGCAAGACACCGCTGTGCCCGAGGGACAGGGCAGAGGACCTGCCACAGCCCATGGGCAGGAGGGGAGGAGACAGGTTTCACAGCCGGGGCCCAGCCCACCAGGCTTCGTTGTTATCAGGTGTGGGTCTGAAAGCCCTAAACATGCGCTGAGTCTGTGCCAGTGTCGTGCTGTGCCCAGCCCTGTGCTTTGTTGTGTTCATTCATTTAATCTTCCCAACCCTCCTCTCTCAAGCTGTCCCAGTTTTACAGATGAAAAAACAGTGACTTAGCAAAGCAAAGCAACCTGCCCAGAGTCACTCAGCAGCCAGTGGGACAGACTCAAATGCTGGCCCAGCTGACTTCAGGACCCAGTTCAGGGCCCAAATCTGAGACGCCTGAACCCCTGAGTTCCAAACAGACCCGGCAGAAGGTGTCCTGCCCATCTGAGGGCCCTCTTCCACCCCCTTCTGCCGCTGGCCTTTGCTGGGCTCCCTGATAACCCCAAGCTTGTCATTCCTGCCTCAGACTTCACACCTGCTGTCCCCTTGATCCCTGTCCTTGGCATCACTGACTCCTCCCTCGGGTCTCAACCCCAGACCCCTCCTTGGAAGGCCTTCCCTGACATCACAACACACGTGCCCTTTCCTTGTCTGTTTCTCCCTGGCAGGTGTGAGCACCAGCGGGGCAGGGCCTTGTCCAGTCACTGCTGCATGCGCAGGGGCCACAGAGAGCCTGGCTCACAGCACATACTCAAAAGATCCTTCACCCAACCCAGGACTGACCAGGTGCCATCACGCACTTGCTCCCTGCTCCTCCACTCAGCCTGGCTCACCTGGCCCCAGGGCCCCACCACCCACTGTGTGCAGGGGTGGGTGTTGCAGGGCCGTGTGGTGTTGGGTCTCAGCGCCTCCTCGCAGAGGCCTGGCTCTGGACAGGTCACCAGACGCTGCTGCTCACCACCGCCACAGGCCTCGGAGCACTGGGTGGGCAGGGAAGCAGTCAGGGCACAGCCAGCATCTGAGGGCGTCCCCTCCCCCCAGCTGAACCCCAGGCCTCACCTCCCTCCAGGAAGAGGTGTACCAGCTGAGGCAGGGCTGGGCCCCGCAGGGCCTGTGCGCAGGTGGCTTGGCAGGCCCGGGCTGACAATGGAAGGGCCGCAGCAGCCGGAGGTCCCGTGTGTCCACACACTGCACATCCCGCACTGAGGAACCTCCGCCGCAGCTGCGGGAGCACTGGGGACCGAGAGACGTGTGGGGACACATCCCCAGGTGCAGGCCCACAGGTGTGACCCCGTGAGGCGTGTGGCGGGAAAGGCATCAGGCCCACGCCCCAGCCCGGGACAAATCCCTAAAGAGCCCCAGCGAGAGGCCAAGGCTGGCCCGCCCCAGGCAAAAGGTGGCATGGCCAGGGGCTGCCAGGGGCTGGGACAGACAGAGGAAGGGAGGAACAAAGGCAAGCTGGTGAAAGACAAGTCCAGATGGGGTCAAAAATACAGAGGAAAGGAAACAGGCCAAGCCAGACACAGGTGAGAAGACTCCCAAGAGATTCGGAATCCAGTGTGATCGGGCACACAGACGTGCAGCCTGGAGCCCTCCCCTGTCCTGCTGCTTTTGGAACACAGGCCTTGGGGAACCAGGGCTCCAACCCATGCCCTGGGAATGCCTGTCCTGGCTCCATCCTCACGCACCTTACTCCAGTTGCCTGAGTGCCAGGTGGCACAGGGCCGCAGGTGGCAGCGGCGGGCAGGCTGGGGCCGGCCAGCGGGGGCGCAGTCCTCATCCCGGCCAGAGCTACAGCGCACCGACCTCCAGACGGCACCCAGGCCACAGGTGGTGGAGCACTGCGGGGCACAGACCCGTGAAAGCCAGGCAGATCCCATCCCCGCCAGGCCTCTACAGCCAGGAAACTACCCACCTAGCCTAGCGAGACCTCAGCAAGACAGGGGCCCTCTTCTGGGCCTCAGTTTCCTTATTTGCAAAATAGGCTCCTCCACCCACCTCCCAGGGAGACCATGAGAATGAAAAGTCAAATCCCCCCAGCAACCAACCGTCCCTGCTCACATGGGACAAAGGGCCTGTGTTCCAGTGTCATTGGTGCAGAGGTGGGGGAGGGGACCCTGTGGGCACCCCTGACCAGCTGTCCTGACCAGCCTCGTCGCTTCCCAGAGGCACCAGGGAAGGAAGGCTGGGTCCTGGGACAAGCAGCCAAATCGCTGGCGATCGATGCGCAAAACAAGTCCTGTGGGCCTCAGCCTGCACCTTCCCACCCCAAATTAGGGATCTGAACAGAAGCTTGCTTCTCCTGCAGTGACCATCTGGGGACCCAGGGAGGGGGCCCTGGCCAGCTTCTTTCATGCAGCTCAGATGCCTGCAGGTCACTGTCAAAGGAGGGTGGAGTCACTCAGGGCAGAGCCAGGTGGCAGTGGGCTGAGCCCAGCCTGGAGGAGCCAGGCCGAGCCTCAGGGAAGCTGCTGTCTGCTGGGCAGGACTGGGCCTGGCAGCCATGCGGAGATCCTCCCCATTACACAGCTGTCTGAGCCAGTTGCATCCTGGGGTGGGCTGTGCTGCCAGAGCATGCCTGCCCCTGCCTTCCCTGAGGCCCCCTGTGCTGCCCAGAAATGGGCCCCAGGGTCCCCTCATTCCCCTAATCCTGGGAACTCCTGCCCCAAGAGAGGCGAGACAGATGGCGCCTGTGTCCCACTCTGCTCATTTTCAGATGAGGAAACGGTCACCAAGGTCCCGCGCAAACTCCCAGCCCACCCAGCCCACACCACTTGCCTGGCTCCAGTTTCCCGCTTGCCAGCTAGCGTTCCTGACAGCCAACGGGTCCGCAGGGGAGACGGCTTCAGCCAGGCTGGGAGCCAGCGGCTGGGTCTCAGGGGTTCTGTGGCTTTTGGCGGGGCTGTCCCAAGCGGGCGTGGACAGTAGCCTAGAGCTCAGGGGCACCTCAGGGCTGAGGGACTCAGGCTGGCCCTTGGGTCCTGGGTTCAGGGCAGGCTCAGGCGTGTGCCCGAGGCCAGTCAGGGTTGTGGGGAGGAAGGTCCCCCACACTGCCACAGTCTGCACGTCCCATAAGCCTGGTCCTGGGGTTGGGAAGGTGGGAGTCCTCGGCTCCAGGGGGCTGTCCCTGCCCTTCATCTCTGGCAGATGGGCTATGGGGGGAGGAGGGGGAGGAGCCACCCCAACAGTGGGCCACAGTTCACTGTCCACAGGCCCCAGGCCACCCTCCAGAGTTGGCTCCCAGGCCACAGTCCCTCCTGTCCATAGCTCTGTCACATCAGGACTAGGAGAGGAGTGGGTACTGCCGACAGGGGACAAAGGGGGCAGGGACAAAGGGGGCAGCGTGGGGCTGGGTCTCAGAGGCGGGTGGGGTGCTCCGCGGCCCTCGGGTTCCTCATCATCCTTGAAAACCTCATTGGTCCTGTCCCTCCATGGAGGGGGCAGCTGGCTCTGGCTGTCCTTGCCAACTGGGAAGTCATTTTGGCTCTCAGGGGTGGCAGGCGTCTGCAGGCCATCAATGGAAACCCTGGGCCAGGGCAGGCTGGGGAGCCCAAGATCTGGGGCCCCTCTGGGGGCGTCTTCTTCAGGCAGGAAATTGATCAAAGGGTTCCCAGGGGTCTGCTCTGAGGGTGGGGGTGGGGAGTGGCCGGCCTGGCTGGGCCAAGGGCTAGGGGACCAAGGTCCCGGTGCCCCCTCCTCCTTGACTGCAGGAGGCTCTGTGGCAGGCACGGGGCTATCTGTGGAGGGCACAGCAGGACCACTGTGTGGTGGGGGCGTCTGATCCCCTGTCTCCGCCAGGTCTAGATCAGGCCCCTCAGAGGGCCCATAGGACAGATCTTCATGGAAGTTGATGAAATTGTAGTCGTAGTAGAAGTCATCCACAAACACGGGCCCCGGCAGGTCCAGCTCTAGGGCCTCTTCCTCAATGGCGTTGCCCATGGTGCCTGGCTTGGGTGATGAGACAGGTGAAGGGCGTGGGGCCCGGTGGCGTGGGATGAAGTCAGCCTCATTGAAGAGCTCGTGGCTGGAGGAGCCGCTACCTGAGCCTTCAGGGCCCAGTGTGTCCAGGGGCCACCGACAGGGTGGCAGAGAGCAGGTGACTTCTCTGGCTGGCTGCTGGGCCTCGTCACAGGGGACACCAGTGTCATTGGTGCAGAGGACATTTCGGTGCTGAGTGCCCTCCCCACATGTCACTGAGCACTGCAAGGGAAGCCAGGGTGAGGGGCATGGCTGGGTAACCTGTCCACTGCCCAATGTCAGAGTGGCAGAGATCCCAGCCAGCCCTCTCTGGCCCTGCCCAGCTCAAGGCCATGACTGTGGACATGCTTGCCAGGGGCTTCCTGATCCCTGAGGCTTTAGAGTCAGGGGCTGGACCCTGGAATGCTCAGGCTCCCTCCCACCCACGAAGGCTCCAGGAAGGCTGTCTGCCTATCTGTAGCCGAAGACCAAGGGTGGAGCTGGAGGCGGGCCCCCTCCCATCCTACACTCACCTGAGACCAGTTTCCCACAGCCCAGGTGGCCGGACAGGGCACATGGCGGTTGCAAGGGGTTTCAGTAGGGGGCCGGGGAAGGTGTTCACAGGCCGGGGGCTCCAGGGCGCTCTGCTCATCCAGCCCCACGCTGCGGATGCAGAGCACGGCCCGGTGGGAGAGGCCCCAAGGCCCACAGGAGCTGGAGCACAGCTGCCACTCACCTGCCCACCACCTGGCGAGGGCACACAGGTGGCATCAGCATGGCATCAGATGGATGGCACCAGCAGGCTCACCAGCAGGGAGGGCCAGGCTGGGCTTCCAGGCCCTCAGGGTTTGGGCAGAGCTGGGACTGAGGCCAGTGGATGATTCTCCAAAGCTCCAAGCCCAGGTAAGTGTCCTGCTCTCAAAGCCTGGTGACATGGCACAGCTCCTCCATTCCTGCCACCCTCCCCTCAGGGAAACTGAGCTTGATGACACAGCACAGCCCCTCTGTTCCTGCCACCCTCCCCTCAGGGAAACTTCCCTCAGGGATACTCCCCTCAGGAAACTGATCTGAGGCCTATTTCCCCATCCAGGGACCCAAAGAGGAGGACCACAGGTGTCTAGGCTGGCCCAGGCTGGGGTGAGGGGTGACCAGGGGCTGGGGTTTCAGCCTTGGGAAGAGAGTGAAAGCCCAGCTCCCTCTGCTCCTCCCCAGGGCCTCTGGGGACCCAGATGTAGGGGCCTGTGGCAGACTCAGGACACCTAGGGGTGGGGAGTTGGTGGGGGAGTGGGGTGGGCTCACCTGGCAGGGCAGGGCTGCTCGCTGCACTTCCTCTGGCGGTCATCGGGCCGGCCCAGGGGGTCACAGTGCTCCTCGTCCACGGGCCCTGTCTGCCGCTCCGAGCAGTACACACTCTGCCTCTGCACACCTGGGGGCCATGGGGCTTAGCCTGGGACTGGCACCCAGGTGGCCACCACCCAAGACCCAAAGACACCCAGAACCCTCCCAGAACAGCGCCTTACTGCCCATGTCAAGATGAAAGCAGACCTCCACCGTCACCTCCTCGCTGTCCTGGTTCTCACTCACCCCCTCTCTCTTATGTAGCCTCCCCTCTGGCTGCCCCTGGACGGGTGGCAGAGTGTGGAGGATTAACAGGTTTTTGGTGCCCCGACCCTCTGCATCCTAGCTGAAACCCTGGACAACTCATTTGGCCTCTCTGAACCTCAGCGTCCTCCTCTAAGAAGTGGGAGCAACAATCCTGCCTCCTCCAAGCCCTGGAGGGAGGACTGCGTGTGTTCTTGCATGTGCAGGCTTGGCCCACGCCCAGCACATCCTAAGAGCTCGATCCGTGCCAGCTGCTGCTAGCATGCAAACCCAGCCATGGCTCCTGCCACCCTCCCCTCAAGGAAACTGAGCCTGCCCTGAGGACTATTTCCACATCCAGGGGCCCAAAGAGGAGGACCACAGGTGTCCACACTGGCCCAGGCTGGGGTGAGGGGTGACCGGGGACTGGGGCCTCAGCCTTGAGAAGAGAATGAAAGCCCAGATCCCTCTGCTCCTTCCCGGGGCTGGCTTGGGTGATGAGGTGGGTGAAAGGCATGAGGCCAGGTGGCCCTGGATGAAGTCAGCCTCATTGAAGAACTCATGGCTGGAGGAGCTGCTGCCTGAGCCTTCAGGGCCCCGTGTGTACGGGGGCCACCGACACACCATCCCACCATCCACACCCTTCCCAATGGCTCAGAGAACATCTGGACAAGAAATTGGGCATCAAGGGGCAGCCCCTGCTCTCCACCCCTGTACTAGCCTTGGCACTGCTCCTGTCCTTCACACCATCTGCCACTGCCCACCCTGGGGCCTTTGCACGGCCACGCTCCTCACCTTAGACACTCACTTCCATACTGCCGGTTGAGGCCCAGCCGCAGGACCCCCTCTGCAGGTGGCTCTGTCTTCTCTGCTCCACCCCCTGCCCCGTGGTCCTGAGAGTAAGTTGTCCCTCCCCTGAGCTGCCGGTCCCACACCCATCCCCCTCTTTCCTCACCAACAGATTCTGATTTTGTTCAAGGCAGCAATGGGACCTGCTGAAAACACACTCCACTGCCGCTCCCTTGCAACTAAGGGGTCTGGGACACAGTCCTGGCTGGGGAGAAAAAGGCACAAGTCCCTTGCTGGGAGTCAGCCCTTTCCTCTCTCCTTCCTGCCCGGTACACGGTAAGAGCCCTGGAAGGGAGGACACCATCTGTGACAAGAAGGAGTGTAGGGGAGGCTGCTGTGGCAAGGACAGTGTGGCTGAGGGCCAGTCAGCTTCAGATCCCGCCAGCTTGGACTGTGCACCTGGGACTTCCTGCCTGAGACAAAGAACCCCTGTCTGTTCTAGCCACCACGGGGCACTTGCCTCTGCAGACATTCCCAAGTGGTCCACCTGCGAAGCAGCCAATTTGCTGAAAGACAATTCCCCAAATGTCTAGTGCTGCAAATGTATGTGTCGGTTTCCACATTTGTCCAATTAAAGACACCTGTGTTAGGCCAGGCGTGGTGGTTCACGCCTGTAATCCCAGCACTATGGGAGGCCGAGGCGGGTGAATCACCTGAGGTCAGGAGTTCAAGACCAGTCTGGCCAACATGGTGAAACCCCCATCTCTACTAATAATATAAATTAGCCAGGCTTGGTGGCGCATTCCTGTAAATCCCAGCTACTCAGGAGGGTGAGGCAGGAGAATCACTGGAACCTGGGAGGTGGAGGCTGCCGTGAGCCAAGATCATGCCATTGCACTCCAGTCTGGGCGACAGGGTGAGACTCCATCTCAAATAAAATAAAATAAATAAAGACAGCTGTATTAGATAACATGGGTTTCCTAGCTTTGGAAGGTATCTGCCCAGTTCTCCATTTTCGTTTTGTCATCATAATAGCATTTTAAGGAATGCTCAAATGTCTGTATCTCAGATTCCCGATTCTGAGACCCTGAGGACACTGAGTGTCAACAATGGGAAGACTGAGGGGAAAAGGGAGGACTAAGAAACAAAGCGGGAGACTGAGGTGTGGGGAGACCAAGGAACGGCGGGGGAGACCGAGCGGGGAGAGGAAGACTGAAGGGCATGGGTGGGACTGGAGGACAGGAGGGAGACCGAGGGGTATGGGGGGAGATTGAGGGGCATGGGGGGAGACTGAGAAGTATGGGAGGAGATGGAGGGGCAGAGGGGAGGCCGAGGAGCAGTGGGGAGGAGACAAAGAGACAGAGAGGAGGAACTGAGGAGCATGGGGGGAGACTGAGGGAAATATGGGGAGGAAGAGTCGGAGTTAAAGAAATTGCCCTACTTTTTACAAATAGTTCAGGGAAATAAGTCAGGGTGGTGAGGGGCCACTGGACTGGTCTCCAGGACGCAGCAGAAATGCAGGCACAAGACCTGCCGGAGCTGAGCAAGGACACAATCGAGAGGGAGCTGTGTCCGCTGGAGGGAGAACGCCAAGAGCTGGAGCACACTGA